TTCTATTTTTACATATTTAGAACCAGTTCCTTGGTTGGTGTTTCTCTATTCTTGGGCACAGTTTGGCAATTGTAATGGTGGTGATGGGAGGTGGGAAGAATACACATTTCTTTGTAAGAAAAATGATTTATATGTATTATTCCTTACACTAATCCAATACATTTATGAGACCTCACAGTTCTCACAGCTGGTCAAATATAACACCCTCGCTCTCCCTCTCTCGTACACATACACAAAACACATGCACTATTTTGGAACATAATACTGGGGTTTAAACTGAGGACTTTTGCAAGTGTCTCATCAGTGAGCAGTATCCCCAGCCCTCCCCCTTCCCCCTTACTCCTGCTAAGTTTAAAGTAAAGTTGCGCTAAATTGCTGAGGCTGGCCTTGAACTCACTACCTCCTGCTTCAGCTTTTGAGTAGGTGAAATGACAACCCATTGCCGTCTGGCCTGGCTCATGTTTTGAACAAGTGTACCATACAAAAATCTTAGTTTACAAGACTAAAAACTTTTCCTTGTAAAAAAAAATGCATTTTAGGTGCGGGACTGTTAAATCAGCTTCCCTTTGGCATTCACCAAATGCTTCACCTTGTTTTAAGTTAAATCTTAAATTGTGGGGATGTGTCATCTTGTGACATGTTGTCTACAGAGGGGAAGCTTCCTCAAAATAGTCAAAGAAGTCCACGAGCCTCTCATGTGACATTGAGATGTTTAGTGTGAGTGAGACCTTTGGTATTGGCTTGGTGGAGCATAGTTAAAAGTTTTGCTTTTCTTGCTTGGGCTTTGGGCAAGCTGCTTCAAAAGCCTCAGTTTCTTTATTTGTGAAACTACTCTGACTGATACCCACCTCATTAGCTCATGAACATATATACAATCAATCCTGTGTTGTGCTAAGATACACATGAAGCCAGGCAGTAGGGAGCCTTATAGGGTTCAGAGGTATCAAAGCTCTTAAATGTCACAGGAATGCCTCAGCAATCTGGCACGCTGACTTGCCTAGTAATACCCAAAGGCCATATACAAAGAAAACAGCCCAGGTACTTGAAAAAAAAGTAGGTGCCGTTCATGGCACAATTACCCAGCCCATCTCTGTTGCATTTGCGTGTGTGTGTGTGTGTGTGTGTGTGTGTGTGTGTGTGTGTGTGTCTGGGGGCTCTGTCTCAACAAACTGACCCTTAGAAGCACACTATAATTCTAAATCTAAACAGAGCCTTGGCTACTATGGAAGTAAACACCTCAGCAACTGTAAATGTGAAGTTTAACACCCTTTGAGAGCGTTATATCGTTTATTCTTCATTGAGTGTTCACAACACCCAGTGGTTTGGAACTATGGTTGCCCTTGATATGTGACAAGAAAAATGAAAATCTGAGAGGTTAAATAACACTCCTTAGACAGCACAGCCGTGAAGCAGCGAAGACAGAATGTGGACACGGCTACCCGGTCCCGAATCTCATGCTCTCAGTCATAATGCTATGACCTGGAACTATGGACTCGGATTTATTTTACTCTCTGGTTCAGACTTTTGTAGACTAAATGGAAATCCAGGAATTACAGAGCAGTGAGTGTTTTCAAAGTTATATTCGCAATGGATTCTGGTTCTGGTCCTACGATTTCAGCGTCGTTTAGTCATTGATCAGTATCAGTTACCTTGTTTTGCAGCCGGGTGGTGGTGGTGCACACCTTTAATCCCAGTACTTGGGAGGCAGAGCGGGTGGATCTCTGAGTTCAAGGCCAGCCTGGTCAACTGAGGAGTTCAGGATAGCCAAGGCTACTCAGAAAGACTTTGTTTAGAAACAACAACAACAACAAACAAACAAAACCAACAAAAAAGTTTGGCAGTTACCTTTTTTTTCTGTTCATTTTCTGACTGATGACATTTTCCAGTCTACAAGTACCCAAAGAGGATACAGACATTGTTGCTCTTATTCTGATTTCTTGCTTTGGACCTACTGTACTTACTGACATGTAAAGTGTGAGCATATTTAGTCTGGTGTGGTTTTATATCATGTGGAGGTTCACTCATTGACACTCCCAGTTAAAGCAGTTTTGACGGCAGCCCCTTCACATTGACCTTCCATGTCTACCTCTTTCCCACACTCTGCTGCAGCTGTCCCAATGCTCAAATGCATCCTTTTCATTTCTTTGTCTTGCTGTGTAGCAGCTTGAAGTTCCAGTATATGACAGAAGGTGTGATGATGTGGGCATTTATCTCTGGGGTCGACCAGCCTCCCTAGTCATGCATTAACCCTATCCAACCTCACATAAACCCCAGATCATTTGGGCATCTAAGACGGCTCATGAGTGGTCACTTATTCATCATGAACATCAAGAACACTCTTCATCATCACAGCGAATATCTCTCCTTATTTTTGAATTGTCCCTCGCTAGCCATGTTCGAGCACCATTTTATGTGGTCTCTCCCATCTTCTCTTTGATAGGTCAAGTGTTTTGGAGAGCTAGCTTCTGACTTCTTCTGGCTTCAGTTCAGGATGAATTGTTTCTTTGTTGATTCCAAAATATTTTATGGACTCACTTTCAATGCACAGAGATGATTTCCACATGAACAATGTGTGAATGATTGGAGGAAACATCCCCTGGATGCTTTTGCTCTTGTCTCGTATCTTAGAAGTTTTGTGTATTTAGTTACCTTTCACAATTAAAAGGTATCGATTGGCTTGGTGATACCATCTGTGCTTAGATTTGGGGTTCAAGCTGGTATCTTTTCATGCAGGAGAACTGTTCCCCCCTTGTCTGTCAAGAGCAGATCAAACCTCTTTTTATTCGGGCTCCCCAAAGATCACAAGGGGAAGTATTGAAATGTGACTTATTACCTTTGGAGGAATGGAAAAGCAAGACAGAAAATGAAAGAAAACTATTAGGAGCACCATGGAAACTCCATCAGGTTTCCATGGTGCACAGCCAGACCACGACCCTGCTGAGCAAAGGATTAAGAAAATAAACCGGGAGAAAGAATGGCGGGAATTTAGACAACTACTTGTTTCATGGGTTGAAGCTTCCAAAGGTTACCCCGTCAGTTCCTCAGGCTTTCCCCTCTAACCCACCATGCCCCAGATCTACACCAGCCTCTCAGAAAATCCCTTCTCTTAGTCCCCTGTGGTTTGTACTTTAGAGAAATGGACCTGGTGTTGAAGGCATCTTTTGCTCTTTTTTTCATTGCCTTCCTAGCAGGTCGGGAGGTTTTGTCTTTTCTGTGTGTTACTTGCAGTCTTTCCGTTGTCCAACTTCCCAGAGCACGCTGAATTGAAACCTGCAGCCGCTGCTCCCCAAGGCCTGCTCCTCTTCTCCCAGGGGCTTCTGAACCCCACCTGTACCCACTGCTAAACGACAGCCCCATGATCGGCTCTATCCACAAATCATGAATGCTTCTTCATGTCCTCTCTTTTTCTCGTACCTGGACATGGATCCTTGCCCATTGCTGAGGGAGGCTATTATTTTCTGAAAACGGGAAGGTACCTCTCTCTCTCTCCCTCTCTCTCTCTCTCTCTCTCTCTCTCTCTCTCTCTCTCTCTTTTAAACTATTGATGTGGCTTACTGTGCAAATTCCCCATATTTGTTCAAATCATTTGCTTGATGATGGGAACTCATGTTTCTGTTGTTTTTGCTTTGTACCACCAACTTCCTTTTACACTTGTGTTTTAAGCAGTGTCTATCTATTGAATAATTCTCCCTACTCCAAGTTATAACATCACAGAAGTTTTAATTGATTCATTTTTATTGTAGTCTGAAAAGGCTATAACAATTTATATTTGTGCCAGTAATGTAGTCTGGTGAAAAGATTTATCTGTGCTATAAATATCAGTCAGAAATTTAAGTAGTTTTTACTCCGAGCATTAATATTTTAATTCCCCTGGTCTTCGGCAAAGAGAATAGTTTTGGCATTCACTTAAAGAGAAAATAAATTGTATAATAATAATAAAACCAAAGCAGGAGGATTGAACAATAAATCTGCAAACTTTGTGCCCGGCAAACCCAGAAAGTTCAGAATAGATGTCCCACCGCTGACACCTACCCCACAGGAGGAGGAATAAGGCATTCTCTCCTTCTACCTACCGCCCACTCCGTGCGAGCAGAGTCAGTACTTCTCAGCTACCGAGGGGCCGGACGAGTGGAGTGCCTCTTTAGGGAGCAGTCACCTGGGCTCAGGGCTGCGTGGAGACAGAGTGTGCTCGGTAGGGCAGCCTCCTGGGAGCAGATGAAATGGGCGCTGCTCTGGAATTTGATGGCTGGTGTCACTCCTCCTGGAGTTTGCAGGGTCCTGGCAGTGTCGGCTGGCTGAGAAGGCTTCTCTCAAACCTGGTTATTCTGGTGAAATGATCTTCTCCCTACTTCACTGGCACTGGCTGTGCCTGGGCAATTCTTTGTGTGAACTGAGAAATGAAAATATCAAGCAGATGACCATCTGGATCCACTCCTTCAGAATACAATTCCCTGATATTTATTTTGTTCATACAAAATGGACTCTCTAGGAGAAATTTTACTGTAAGTCCCATATGTAAAAGTTTTTTTATTTTCATGTGTGTCTATGTGGGTAGACACACACACACACACACACACACACACACACACACACACACCTGGGTCCCCGTGGAGGACAGGAGACCTCCTAGAACCGGAGTTGCAGGCAGTTGTGAACTGTTTAGCATGGGTGCTAGGTACTGAACTCAGGTCCTCTGCAAGAACAGTAAATGCTCTTAATACTGAGCCGTCTCTCTATCCCCATACAGTTTGTAAAAAGATTAATAAAATTGAAACTTACTTTCACATCATTTGTAAGTAAAGGTTAGCTAAAATATTAATAAGTGAAGAAGTGTTTGAAACTGCCACAGAGAGTAATTTTCAAATATGGGACCAATATTTAACATAGTAAATCATAATGAAAAATTTTGCATGTATTTCTCCAGGTAATATTTGAGAAAACTCCACTTATTTTTAGTAATTGCTTGAAAATATAAGAATCTGAGGTTTTAAATATAATTATTTTATATCTATATTTTTGTATTGGGGGGAGGGAATAGAAAAGAAAGCAGCCCCTATACTGGGCCCTATTCAGTGGCAGCTTCTTGTTCCATAGGATTAAGGAAGACTTTGAGGAAATAAAAGTTGTTTGGAAAAATCCAGGTGTAGTTGCTTTGTATGCTGTGATGGGTAGGAGGGATGCAGTGAAGTGTGAAGGCCCCTCACACCCTCCATCTTGCCTCAGACTATGTCCTGGAACCCTGGGGCGGAGAAAGCGCTATTTTCATTCCTGCTTCTTGGGATTGTTGACTGCCACGTAGTGATAGAGAACCACAAGCAAGAAAAGCGACACGCGCAGCATGTTGGCAAAGATGGCGAGCTGCACGTCCGTGATCATCCTGACCAGCTCCACTCGGCTCCGATGCTACCGCTCGCTGTACAGCTCGAGGTAGGAGACCTGAGCCGGAACTTCGTAGTGCTAGTCGGGGGAATGGCCTAAATATAAATTTTTTAAAAAAGTATAAATTTTAGTTGAAAATGACTTTTCTCAGCCACAATAAATCAGAGATTCACCTTTAATTATTTTTTTCTGGGTGTTCAACATTTCAGAGAGTGAGTTTTCCCCTCTGTAAGAACACTTTAGGTGGAGTGCTTCATAATTCATTGTCATCTAAGAACCTGGGAAGAATGGGAGATTCAGTCAGGAGAGCCATCGCATCCCGTCTGATGGCCTAGCTTCCTAGACGGACGCTTATGGGTTTTATTTTGTGCCTGCGTGTGTGTGCGTGTGTGTGTGTGTGTGCCTGTAGGTGTGCGGGGCGTGCGTTAGTGTGCAGAGGAGTGAGAATGCCAGAAGCTAGCCTCGTGTGTCATTCCTCAGCCACCATCCACCTCATTTTTTAAGACAGGGTCTCTCATGAGCCTGAAAGTTGTCAGAGAGGCTAGGCTGGCTGGCCGGGAGCTCCAGGGATGGATGTGCCCGTGCCTGCCCTTCCAGTGTGGAGACTGTAGGTGTGCATCACCGTGCCTGACTTTTTACGTTCTGGGAGTCATCTGAGGTCCTTGTGATTGCAAGGCAAGTGTCTTGCTTACTGAGTTGTTTCCCTAGCCAACCTCTGTTTTATCTGGTAGGAGAGGGGTGGACGATTCTAGATTATAGAAACTGAGACCCCTCTACAGGGCTGTCTGCACCTGCCTGCCTTTGTTCAGTCAAATTCACCCTTTAGTGAGCTCATTTCTTCTTCAACAAGCACAGGCTCTCTTTGTCCCAACATGCTATGGTAACTGTTTTGCGTTATTTCTTACCAGATATCATATAGTCAGTTATAATTTTCAAAGCAAAATATGTGAGTATTTAAATTTGCATTAAACATCTTGTAGACCCTTATTCTTAAAATAATTAGTATGAGGTTTTGTAACTAGTCAGTACAAACAAAAAAAAAAGTGTGCTAATTGGCTAATTGAAATGTTCCAGGTGGCATTTCTCAAAGAAGTCGCGTGGGATTTCTCTAACAAGAAGAAACAGCTCCGCAGGAAAGCTGCGGAATAAACAGAACCATGCCACACAGGTTATAAATGGCGCATCTTGTGGTAACTTACACAAGATGACAGTTAGCCAATACCTGAGTTCCTTAATGGGCGAAAGGGTACAGGTATCTATCATTTACACATCTCCCTCCCGGAGTGCTGATTGTATGGGTTGCCACACTAAGCTCCAAGGATAAAGCGATTGACAGCTCCTCTTCTATTTCTCCTGTATTTGTGCCAGAAGCAAAGTGAAAATGTACTCTGATATGGTTGGAAGACTGAAATGGGGAATGGGCTCAGCAAAAGACTTGAGTGAGGTCACAGGGCAGAGAATCAGGCAGATAGACAGACAAACCAAGCCCGTGGCTTACTTTCAAAGGGTCCGTCTAAAGCAAGCTTCCTCAGTAGTGTCTGAGCTAGGATCTGAAGGATGGGTGTGAACTAGAGAGAGGGAGGACCATAAATGCACCATAAATGGTGAGTGATCCAAACCGAAGACTATGGCAGAGGGCTAACAGCTGGGTGACAGACAAGGTGCGGCGAATGAGCAGAGGTGGAGTGTGACCGGAATCCAGAGCTTCAGCGTGGTATGTGGTTAGATTCTTGAGGATGCGTGGCAGCCAAACCAGGCAGGTCTGCTATTTTTACTGCTGCTGATTTACTAGTGTCAGACGCTTCAGTGTTTTCAACGTGTGCTTTAAGTTTCTCATTTTGTGTAATGTCAGTGGTGGGAAGCTACAGTTGACAGAACAGGAGAGAGATGCAAATGATTATTTCGAGGCTCCATGAATAGCCAGTAGAAGAGACTAGAAACAAAATGATCTATGCTCTGGTCCCAGGGGTCTGCTCTCTGGGGATGGCAGCTTCTGTTTGTTTCTCATATGTGCTTGCTGTTCTATCCTAGGTCTGCTCTGGATGGCTACTCAATGTGGCATATGAGGCAGTTACTGACTACAAGGAGTTGGCCTAACTCGGAGCTATCAGAAGGTTTAAATCCTGATCTTCATATCTGAAACTTCTCATGCACTTTTACACCTACAAGGGGAGAAAACCTGGAGCTCTATTCATAGATTCTGGAATAGAATTCATAGTCTCTATTCATAGAGTCTAAATCCAACACCTTTTGAAAATATAGTTGTGCAGAGCTGTTAAGTTGTGATGTTGTTTTCAATACAAACAGTGAAACTGTCCTCATAAACACTATGAGCTTTATTTTTGTACATTGTTTAACTCAAAGTAATTCATGTTGTAGGGATTTATATAGACGTGTCTTTGGTAGTGCCCCAAACTCTGCTCTACAAATCATTGTCATCTCTCAGAAAAGATGGAATCATTTGGAGACACACTGGAAAAGGATTTGACATAAACAGTCTGTTACTTCCACACTCTCGTTTTGAAGGCAACGGATTCCCTAAATTCCACTAGAAAAAAAATGTCCCACTGGGGTGTCGTTTCCAATGTGGCCTGTTTAGAGAGATTGTTTACTCCCTTGATAGCACCATTCCAAAGTCATGCATATTCATAGACCACAAATCCTAACTTGCTTATATAGAGCACACATTCTGATTTCAAAAATGAATACTTAGAGTATTTCCTACAAAACTGAGCAATAGCCCTAGTTCTTGTTTAAAATATCTTTTCTTAAGTTCATTCTTTGAAAATTTCAGACATGTATACAGTGTATTTTGATCACTATTTTTTTTAAAAAAAGCAGTATTCTGATGACTCTTACCCCCAAACCCTCTTCCCAACCTCCCTTCTACCCCTGCCAACACCTGCCTCCTCCCCCCAAATCCCACTCCTACATTAATTTCTTTGTTGTTTTCATTTTGATTTGTGACCAACTGGGTTTAACCAGGGTCATTCGCGTGACCTTGGGTTCTGAATTATCCTTTGGAGCCTGGTGAGGTCCTCAGGGACACACAGTTGAAGATAGTGACTACCCTGCTCCAAGAATTCCTCGGTAGTCAATAGTTCAGCGGAGTAAGGCCTTGTGAGCCCTTTTCCAACTCATGATTGGTTAACAGGCCCATTGGTATGTGGGCCCAGGACAGGCAGCTGCAGCTGCTGGGACTCCGTGATTGCTATGGCTCTGTCATGCTCAGAAGATGGCCTCTCACAGTTCTTCCTAAATCTTCTAGCTTTTACATTCTGCCATCTCTGAGCCGTGTGTGTGTGTGTGTGTGTGTGTGTGTGTGTGTGTGTGTGTGTATTACAAATGTCTTGCTAGAGTTGAACGTCTGACATTTCAATTATTCTCAGCACCTCAACTAATGGATTTCTGCATTCATCACCACCCATTTCAAAGAGAAGCTTCTCTGGTTAAGGCTGAGAATAGCAATTGTCTGTGGTTACAAGCATAACTATTTAGAAGGTGGATTGGTGCCATGTTCATGTAATTAGACTATAGTAATAAGTTCCCTACAGGGCCCAAGGCTTAGTCAGTCATGAGTTTTTGACTGAGTGTATAGTACTGCTCATGGGTTTCCTCCTATTGAACCGGTTTTAAGTCCAGCTAGAGAGCAGTTGGTTAGACCCGTTCCCCCATGGTCATGCCTCTATTGCATCACTCAGTACATCTTGCTTGGCAGGTGATGTTGCTGTTTGTATGGTTAACAGCTGGTTTGGTTCATTTTTTTGCTTTTGGTTTTTTTTTTTTTTTTTTTTTTTTAAAGAGATCTTCTTCCTCCTCCTTCTTTTTCTTCTTCTACTTCTTTTTAAATATTTCTTTCGGTTTATTTACTTTATTTTTATGTGCATTGGTGTGAAGGTTCAGATCCCCTGGAACTGGATCTTCAGATAGTTGTTAGCTGCCAACTGAACTGAACCCTGTCCTCTGAAAGAGCAGTCAGTGCTCTTAACCGCTGAGCCATCACTCCAGCACCTTTTTTGGTGCTTCTTAGGCTGGACTTGACCTTGCCATGGAGCCCAGGCAATGTCTGCTGACTCATTCCTTCTGCCTCTGCCTCCTGAACACCTGATTACAGGTGTGAGGGGCCACACCTGGTTCATACTTTACTTTTGAATTGTTCAGTCTCTTATCACTGAGCTATTGCATCTTAGTCCTTACATTCTGATAACTCTACCCTGTGCCCCAAATGAGTCTCCCAGGGTATTCCATAAATAAAACTCTGGCACTGATGACCTCTTGGGATCCCTATTACTATTTTCTTTCTCAGTTATAGAAAAATTTGGTTTTTTTTTTTTGGATTTTTTTTGAGACAGGGTTTCTCTGTAGTTTTTGGTGTCTGTCCTGGAACTAGCTCTTGTAGACCAGGCTGGCCTCGAACTCACGGAGATCCACCTACCTCTGCCTCCCAAGTGCTGGGATTAAAGGCGTGCGCCACCACCGCCCGGCAGTTATAGAAAAATTTGTAAACCTGAGGCAGGAACTGACAAAGAGAGAAAACTAGTTAAGCAAGCTTTCACTGGAAGGAAAGAAAGCAGAGCCAGGCAGACAGGTTTGAATTCCTGTGCCCTCGTAAGCCCCTTAATCATGCTGGCACGAACAGTGTTGCTCAAGCCTGTTAGCAGAGGAATGCTGGGTATATAAAAATGGTGTCTGTTTACTTCAGCCAAGAAATTCATAATGCAAAACTCCTTTAGTAGACACATGGCATTGCATTTTGGGAATAATAAATTAGAAAGACAAGACCAGCCTTAAATGTTGGACATATAGACACGGAGCGGTGTTGACTGAATTCTTGTATCTTTCTACCCAGAATATTCTGGAAATTCATGCTTTGAAAAAGCCTCTGTGATGTCTTTCCCCAAGACCAAGGGGATCCCTGATTCTATATTTGCTTGGGGAGCATGGGTGATGTTCTCATACTGTCGTCTACCTACACTTGGGGTCACGGAGCTCTGATGTCTCCCCACCACCTCTGTGGTATTCTACAAGTCGTAGA